TTAGGGCTTAGGGTTTAGAAGTTGAAGCAGGCATGCCGCTCATACTGGCCCACCATAAGATGGGTCTGCAAAAGGCGCTGGCAGATGTCCCAGAGTTTCGTGGTATATTAGCCCAGGGCTCCGTTCAACGGGGAACCTCCATCGAAGACTGGGGTGGCTTCGAGTGGGGTCCTGCAACTGCCAGCGACCTCGATTTTGTGGTGCTCTTTGGTGGTGAGGCCACAGCCGAGCACCTCTGTCGGCTCAAGGACATGTTAGGGGGGCAGTCGGCTGAGAAATCTTCTCTGCAGCCAGGGCGCTATGGGCTGCAAGTGGACTTGCCGCTTCATGAAGGTGCCAGTATCTCCGTCGACATTATACCGGCAGTTGCAGATCCGCAAGGCGGTCACTGGATTTGGGACTCCGTGAAAAAGCAGCTTCTTCACAACAACCCTGGTGCTATGGCCGAGCACGTAAGAGAGGCGAATCGCAGAAACGTGGGCCTGGCAGATGTCGTTGTCTTATGCAAGTTCTGGAACAAGCGGAAAGCCGTGAAGTGCGATGATGGCCAAAAGCGGGCACTCTTCACTTCGAATCACCTCGAGCTGCTCTTGGCCCAGATGTCCGGGCCCCTACCTACACGCTTGGATGAGGCCTTCCTGCAGGCTTTGGGCCACTTGCGGAGGAACCTCTTACACACGCCGGTTCCGGAGCACTGGACGGGAAAGCCGGCGGAAGAGTACCTGCGGCATGATTCGAAGCGCTGTGCCAACACACGCAGCTTGCTCAAGCGCCAAGGAGCCTGTTTGCAGCTCTCTTCAGATTCGGGAGATCCAGTTGCCTGGTTCAAAGTGCTTGGAGATGCTGGGCTGCTTGTCTTCATTCCTCCCGGCATGCACTAAACCCTAGGCCCTAAACCCTAAACCCTAAACCCCTGCTGTGACAGCTCTCAGCTCCCCTGAGCCGCGACTTCTAGCTGAGGTGGCTGGCTGATCCACCCGGACCTTTCCTGGATGACGAGGAAGCGCGTGCTGACTACGTGTCTGAGAAGAGGAATCGGAAACCGAAGTTGTGACTCGTACAGCGCTCCAGTAGTGCGAAGAGCGAACTCAGCTGGCCCGAGGAAAACGTTGCTGCACTAGCTGTGGAGTTATGCATCTGCTTGTGTAGAAAGTCATGGCCATAAGAGAGCAAAAGATCCTGTGTTGCTCCGCAAAGGGATTCTGCCTTGCTCATTTTGCTCCAGGAGTACGGCGTGCACCGAGACAGCATGCATCCTAGGACCTGGATTTTGACGAAACATTGAGCCGCCAAGTTCCAGAAAGGAGTACGAGCTGCTGAGCTAAGCTGTAGCCCCAAACCCCGAACCAAGCGCTAAGCCATATACCCAAAGCCGTAAGCTCGTAAGCCTAGACCCTAAACCCAAAGCCCTAAGCGCTCAACTGTAGTCTAAACCCTAAGCCCTACACCCTAAACCCTAAACCCCAAGCCTTAAACCGAACCGATTGTTTGCACTTGGCTCTATGGAGCCGCTGGTGCGTGACGCAGTGAGCCGGGAGCTTAGGGGAGCGGTTGTTTGTATGGGAGTTCACAAGAGTTTGGGGTTTAGGATTTAGGGTTCAGGGTTTAGGGATTAGGGTTTAGGGTTTAGGGATTAGGTTTACGGATTACGGTTTAGGGTTTAGGGATTAGGGTTTAGGGTTTAGGGATTAGGGATTAGGGTTTAGGGTTTAGGGATTAGGGTTAGGAATTTGGGTTTAGGGTTTAGGGTTTAGGGCTTAGGGTTTAGGTATTAGGGTTTAGGTTTTAGGGTTTAGGGATTAGGGTTTAGGTTTTAGGTTTTAGGGTTTAGGGCTTAGGGTTTAGGTTTTAGGGTTTAGGGTTTAGGGATTAGGGTTTAGGGATTAGGGCTTAGGGTTTAGTGCTAAGGGTTTAGGTTTTAGGGTTTAGGGTTTAGGATGCTGAACAAGGGGCTCTGTATAGTTCCAAGGGTTTAGTTAGGGCTTGAGGTTCATGCGCCAACGGTTCAGGTTCTGACACGATAAGGCGTACACATAGACTGCACGGGCGTTCATGTGGTATTCGTGTTTAGACTCCATGAAAACGGTTGAAACCTGAGCCCTAAACCCTAGGCAACCCTAAACCCTAAACCCTAGGCCCTAAACCCTAAACCCTAAACCCTAGGCCCTAAACCCTAGGCCCTAAACCCTAAACCCTAGGCCCTAACCTAAACCCTACAGACCTGGAGCCCTCAACCCATACGGCCTGAGCCCCCTCATGAAACCCTAAAACAGAAGCCACCCCCTTGTGGAGCCCTTTTAGAAGCCTGATACAATCCACCCTAAACCCTACACCCTAAACCCCAAGCCCCAAGCCCCCAATAACATCCCTCCAAGGAAAGACCAGCAAGCCGAAAGCCTTCACCATTAGGGCCCATCGAGGCCTGCCGAAGCCCTTACAGCTACCCATCGGGGTTTAGAGTTTAGGGTTTCCTTGTTGTAACGCCTGTTCCAAGGGGTTTAGGGTTTAGGGTTTAGGGGATTGGGGTTTAGGGTTTAGGAGATGTGGGGCAAGGCATCGAACCTTTTTTCCTGGGAAGCGAAGCAACTCCTCGTTCTGGCGGTGCGGTGGGCGAGTCACGCTGTCCACACTGTAGTGGATGCAGGACATCAGCCATGGACTGAAGCCCTCGGGATGGGATGGTCGCAGGGACGATGTCAGAACAGGCCACAGGCCGACTTGGAGAGTAACAAGCAGGACAAGACATGCCGCACAGAAGGAATCCGCGCGGCTCGCGGCGCTGGCTTACCTCAGGAAGAAGAGACACCTTTGGGTGGAGCACGTGGACCCAGCACATCGGTCCCACAACGGCGTGGCTTTGGCCCTATCTGGCGCTGGACTCCTGAAGTTCGCGCAGTGGCCCAGTAGTTTGTACAACATCAGATTGTGGAGCCTGGCAGAAGGGAACATGGCCCAAGAAGATCCAAAAGACTGCCCAACACATGCAGGGCCGAACAAAGACGAAACCCTAGACCCTTAACCCGAAGCCTTACGCCGTACGTCCTGATACCCAACGCCGCTAACATTCTAGGAAACGCTTGTAATCCTTTTTAGAAACCCCTACAATCTGTGGGATCAAAGATTCCTTCGCTCCTGCTAGAGTATGCCAGATAACAACAAATCCATCATACTTCCTGTGCTATGACATTCTATGATACATAATAATATACTATCGCCCTCCCCCATAGACCCTAAACCCTCAACCCTCAACCCTAAACCCTCAACCCTCAACCCTAAACCCTCAACCCTAAACCCTAAACCCTCAACCCTAGACCCTGAGCCCTCAACCCCCAAAACCTCAAACCCTAAACCCTCGGCCCTCCAACCTCCGATGAGGGGGATGCTCGTTGGCCTGGTCCTCCGAAGCTTGCGCGGATGGCTGCAGGACTACGCCTCGGCCCTGGGCCTTTTCATTGTTTTTTTTGTCAACTCTGTAGCTGTGTTCGGGATCGTATGAGGGTTTAGGGTTTGGGGGTTTGGGTTTAGGCTTCATGGGTTTAAAATTAGGGTTGAGGGGTTTAGGGTTTAGGGGTTAGGGGTTAGGGTTTACAGGTTAGGGTTTCTATCTCCAGGTTCCCCAGTAGCACCCTTTTGCCCTTTTTCTGTTTGGGTTCCCTTCTTGAACCCAAATAGTAGGAACCAGGGTACCCTTATTGTTAAGGGGCTCGTCAGGAACCTAGATCTGTAGCTGTCTTTAGGGTTTAGAGTCTGTCTGGTGAGTCGTTTAAGGCAGGGTCGGGTTGTTTTCCTGCGATGCTGCCGGGACTTTTCGCAGTCTTGCGAGGGTTTCGGCGGGGTTTTTAGTCAAGTTAGGCAGGGTCTTGGAAGGTTTTCTATTGGCAGCTGTGTTTTCTGTGGCGCTGACAACCCTAAACCCTAAACCCTACGTTACCCAAACCTAAACTCGGTACGACGACCAAAAGCCTGCTCGGAGAATAGAGGTGCTTCAATTATGACCCTGAACCCTAACGCCTAAACCCCCCTAAACCCTAAACCCTAAGCCTAAACCCTAAACCCTAAACCCCTTGACCCTAAATCCTAAACCCTAAACCCCAAACCCTAAACCCTAAACCCTAAACCCTAAACCCTAAAGCCTCAAGGAAGCAGGGTTTAAAGGTTTCAGTGCTCAGGGCTTGGGCTTTACGGGTCTAGGCGTTTATAGGGATTGTAGGAACTGTGGGATTCGGGCTTTAGGGTTTAGGGTTTAGGGTTTAGGGTGTAGGGGTTTAGGGGTTTAGGGTTTAGGGTTTAGGGTTTAGGGTTTCAGCCACCATTGCGTAGGAGCCCAATGAAGGTTTCGGCGGAACTACCCGGTTTAGGGTTTAAGGTTTAGGGGTCGAGCACAAGCTGCAAACGCTAAACCCTACTCAGAACTGCCACTGAACCTTCGACGAAATCCTAAGCCCTGAACCCCAAGCCCTAAACTCCACATATTGCACCGGCTGACGCCCAAAGACAACGCGCCAGATAAACCACCGGCTTGGGGTGTGGGGATGGTGTTGGTTCTGCTGGACAAGAGCTTAAACGGATGAGATGCTGATGAATCGAAATTATTGCTCAGGAACCTTTTGAGGCCCTACTTAACACCCGAAACCCTAAACCCTAAACCCTAAACCCTAAACCCTAAACCCTAAACCCTAAACCCTAAACCCCCTTTGATCAGCCCTGAGCCCTGAACTCTGAGGCCCGAAGCCCTGAACCCTGAAACGCCTCTTCCGAGGTGGGCGTGGACTTGGAGAACTCAGCCTACCAGGTGGAGGAGCTGAGTCACAACCACCTGCGTTTCGAGCTCCAGGACGGTAGGGTTTAGGGTGTAGGGTTTAGGGTTGTGGGCTTTGGGAGCTCCATGACATTTCTGCTTCTTTGTGGCTAAGCATTTGGGGTTTTGTTGGGATAGCTATACTTAGTACGCAAATTCATGATCTAGTACTGTAGGGACCACAACGGCATGCTTTTTGCTCTAAGGCTACCGACTGCTATGTTCCCAAGCGAAGGACGTGGCTCTGACTACAGCGGTCTGGCGCTTCCTGGTGGCCCGTCCGCACATCGGTTTCAGCCCGAACGAGGGTTCGGGGTTCAGTTTAGGTTCAAGGTATCCTAGCCCCAAATTCTTTTTGAGGAGTTATATGCTTGCATATGTATATATATATATACACGTATATATATATATATATACATGTATACAATGCGCCCGTGAATCAGCGGTCAATACCTATTGATTTGTAGATTTTGGAGTTTAGAGTTTAGGCAGAGGGCGAAGTGAACTGATCTCGCTGACCACGTGGGAGGACGATGCCGAGGGGTATAAACCTACCAAACTCGAATCTCCTAACCCTGAATCCCAAAGCATTGACTTCATAAAAACCCCAATGGACATAAGTATCAGATCATTATGCAAACCTAAAGCCCTCAACCTGGAAACCCCGAAGGTTTTGAATCCTAAACTCTAAACCCTAAACCCTAAGCCGGAACAATTCTGAACCTAAGCTCTGCAAGCCACCCCGAATGGCCGAGATCCCGGAATCCAGCAAGCTACAAGGCATTTTCCTCTTTCCTAAGCCTTTATCTCAGTTATCTCCTGTCAGGGCTTAGGGTTTTGGGCACAGAATACTACCTAAACCCCAAACCCTAAACCCTAAACCCACTTCTTTTCGAAAGAAGCCACAGTACTTATCCTGCGAACTCGACATCCGGTAGCCTCGCAAACGCCCTAGGCCTACACGCCTGTGACACCCCAATCCTAGGCCGTCAAAGCCATCAAAAGCTTACGAGCCGCCCAAAAACCCTTAAGCCTAAACCCCACCTGTAACCGAAAAGACGTACTTTTTTAAGGAACGACATGTAGAAACCATGATCAAGAACCCTAAAAAGCAAGTCTTTCCGGCGCTAAGTGCTGGGCCTTCACTGTGAGGTGGGGCCCATTCTTCCCCTCACAGTACAGTCCGGCCGTGTGGACCAGGCGACCCCGCCCTTCGCGAGGTTACGATTCAGGGCTTCAGGGCTTCAGGCTTTTCG